AGTATAGCATGTCAAAAATATTATAAAAAGTCTTAGTATAGCATGTCAAAATATTATAAAAAGTCTAAGTATAGCATGTCAAAAATATTATAAAAAGTCTTAGTATAGCATGTCAAAATATTATAAAAAGTCTTAGTATAGCATGTCAAAAATATTATAAAAAGTCTTAGTATAGCATGGCAAAATATAAAGTCTTAGTATAGCATGTCAAAATATAAAGTCTTAGTATAGCATGTCAAAATATAAAAAGTCTTAGTATAGCTTGTCAAAATATAGTCTTAGTATAGCTTGTCAAAATATAGTCTTAGTATAGCATGTCAAAATATTATAAAAATTCTTAGTATTATATGTCAAAAATATAAAAAGTCTTAGTATAGCAAGTCAAAATATTATAAAAAGTCTTAGTATAGCATGTCAAAAATATAAAGTCTTAGTATAGCATGTCAAAATATTATAAAAAGTCGCAGTATAGTACAAAATGTAAAAAAAAAAAAAAAGCCATTGCATTATCATAAAAAAGTAATACTATGTTAAGATAAGAGAATACTTAATCCCACAGAGGGGAAGTTATTGAATGAGCAGAGGACGGGGGTTATCCCAGGACAGAGCTGGCCTTCTGAACCCGTCTGTTGAGTCTCTTCCCATCAGCAGTCAAGATGCTGATGCCCCAGCAGACAGCTCCATAAACCATGAGGGGATGCCACCACAGAGAGGACCGAGGTCCTCGGAGTCCTCCCTGCACTCCACAAGACCTTTTTTCTCGGCAGATTAGAGTCAGCAGTCAGCAGTTCATAAAAGAGAGTACAGTACATCATTAAGACTGTCGTATAAAGTTATAGTGTCGATGAAACAATATAATAGTATGTCATAAAGGTTATAGCATCATAAAAGTCAGTAAATAGTGTAGTTATATAATTTAGTAAGTCATAAAACTAAAATATAAAAATGTCACAGTATAGCATGTTAAAAAAGTTTTCATGAAGAATTTGTCATGAAAATGTCAGTGTTTAATCAAAACAGTATAGTTCATGAAAATAGTCATAAATTCATAATATGGTAAAACTGTCACAGTATAGTTTGTCATAAATTATAAAGTCATAGAATAGTTTACCATTTAAAAGTCGCAGCACAGAATGTCAGAAATGAGTCATAGTATGTTTAAGGATATTTATTCATAAACAAGACAATTAGTTCTTCAGTCACAATACCAGAAGATATTAAGTTACATGGAGTTTTAAATTAGTTTTTAATAGTTACAGTTTATCTACCTCCTTCAATGTCCTCTAAGCGTACAACTTCAAGTTCCCAGACTGTGGGCCTTTTAGTTCGGTCCATTTGAAAGGAACAAATCGTGTGACGCTCATGAGATTTTAAATATTACAGGCCCCCCCCCCCATCTGACTTCTGCAGGCGAATAACAGTTTAGCATTAAAGGAGCTGCACAGATCTTTGACACGCTAGTCTTATCTTGATTTTGAAGACTTAATGAAACCTGCAGACATCACAGGTAAGATCTGCTATCGAGCCAAGAATATAGAGTTGCATGATGGTAGCCATTAGGCTCCAGAGATTTAAGAGCCCATATTTGAGTCAACCTGAGATCTCCTTACTTTCAGTCTTTGAACACAACCTCCTAACTGAGATCTAGCAAATTATTTCAGTTATTGGGAACACAAAGCTCCTCCAGGGACAGAAAATGCAATTTATACAAAATGAAAAGTAAACTAGCACTCCTTAAGATTCAACTCCCAGTTCACAATACTGCAAATGTATAAATACTGCAATACTTTCATCAGTGAGCGATAAGCTTAACCACCATTGTGTTAGTTACCTCCTTCAATGACAATCTAGAGGACCACATTAGAGTACGACGCTGTAGTACTCTTAAACAGATTGACATGCACAAACGTCCCTTTGAGACAAATAGGAAAATACTTCCGCAGTTCGTCTTTGAGGAACCGATTGGAGTTTTAAAGCTTTTGATGTTGACAAATTAAACTGCCACAAAGTCCTGATTCAGTGATTTGTGGATGTTAATGACTTCTAAAAGAAAAGAAACTCCAAAACACAACTTAAATGAATGAAGAGTCCAGACGTGTCGGGTAATGCTTAAACACCTTTATTGTGCCCAATCTGAACAAACTCCACAACTGTAAGTAGCAGCAAACTTGGCAGACCACAATGAGGTAGACTTTCAAAACTCTAAAAAGCAGCTGGGCCAAGGGACAACAAGCTCAGCATGACAAACTTAATGGATAAAGAAAAGACACTCAAGTCTTTGGCACACAGCTTATTATGCATTTATGTCCCAACTGGAACAGGAAGGCAGAAATGGGATAAGAAAGCGTTGGAATCATTTACTGGGGTCTACTCAAGCTCTGGATCGATTGAATTTATCATCAGCTAAGTGGAAGTTCTTACATTCAACAGGAAACTAGCAGCTGTTCTAACGTAGGCGCGTCCCCCTGCTGATGTACAAAAGCGATTAAAAACCACTGCCACCTCTCCACACGTGCAAATTAAAAAGTGCGCAAAAAAGGAAAACCCAAAACCATGTACAATCAAATGCTCATTCACTCTAGTCTCAACAGGATCCATCAGGTGCTCGAGAAATGATGGACAGCTGAGGCATATCCAGTACTATTGATACTTACATTTAATATAACTGGACCAACAAAGCAAGTTAAAGTAGTACTTCCAACATTTTGTGCCCGTTCAGTTGAAATTTGGGAGGGCAAATTAAAAAAGGAAAAAACGCTACAGAAAAATTGTATGAGGAAAAAAAAAAAAAAAAAAAAAAAAAGGGGTTTTCCCCAAAAAACAGCCGCCTGGTAGAATTCTGTTCAAAATTTTCATGTCATGACTTAAAACCGTTTGTGTACAAATTAGTAAAAAACTGCGTAAAAATGTCTGAAATGCGACTGGTTAAATGAAGCCCAACATTCAACTCCCAAAAGTAAGAAACACCAGCTGGCTTGCACAGGAAAAAACAGATGCCAGCCGGGGGTTAGGGTGGGCGGAGGAGCAGTGGAAGGGGGGGGAGAAAAATAAAAAGTTAAAGGCACTGTATGGCATTTGCCAATGAACGGCAATGAGACTTGCGTGACTGCTCTTCACTATGCAACACAAACAGAGAAAAAAAAACGAAAAAAAACAAAACAAGAAATGGCATTTTCATCCACTTCTTTAACCGTCGGCGGACTCTCATCTTTCCGTCCGGCTGCAAGTCTGGAAAAAAATGCATAAGTGTGAAGGGCACCCTCGTCTCCCCCCCCTCCCCCCTGCTCCAACAAGGTCACTGTGCATCGTGCCACTGTGAACAGCAAAAATGTAGCGCAAAAGTGCAAAAGTGAACATCTCTCTACAGTGATATACCCCCCCAGTGCCTGGTGGAGTGCTGTGGTGACCCCCGTGCCGAGGGACATCCGGCACACGTGCTCTCTCTCCTTGGCGGGCAGCCTCACGGCCCCCCCCCCCCCCCCCAATCCTCGTCGAGGGGCTCTTCTCTCCGGCCCTTCAGAGTGTTTGGATCCATCTGCTCTAGCTAGAGTCCCTGTTCTTCTGGTTGCGCATGAGGGGCCGGTGGTTGCTCAAGATGTCCATGGAGTGCTGCCAGTGCCAGCAGGAGCGGCAGTAGTACTTGAAGCAGGCCTGTGTGTGTGTGGACAGACGGTGATAGCGCTCATTAGTAGGCTGCCGTAAAATGAGAATGACATTTCTCATATTTGTGAAGCACTTCAAATTAGTTTGAGCTATGAAATGAATCACTTTAGTGCATTCATTCCCAAAGACTGGGGTCACAGGAGATTTTATTTGGTTCGCAAATAAATTAGACATTTACATCTGCAGTACTCGTTTGAGCCACATGAGGGAGCCTGAACGTGCCTACTGTTCTGATAACTGGAGCAGACTAATAACATTGAATCTAATATGAAAGACTAGCTAACTTTGTTTTTACATGACTTGTGGTAAGATACCAACAGGGTTGCTTCTTTGGTTTATATACACTCACTCTGTGGACCAATAACAATTAAAACTCATTTCTATGGCAATCAGAGCGCAAGAAATTAGAGAAACTGGTCATGAAAGTCACCACTGGGCTCTGCTAGCAGGACAAAGATGCGTTTCCACCGACCTGGTCTCTGCAGAAGAAAGGCCCGGGTTGGCGAAGGCAAACTTGACACATGGAGTCTTCCAGGTACGGGTCGATCTGGACCTGAGGGGAAAAAACAAAAACACTCAGTTTAAGGTGAAAAAAAATGCAAAAAAGAAAACGGCCTCATCTAGATGCGGCGTTTAATTTGTCCGTTCAGGGCTACTGTAGAAACATGGCTGAAGATATAAACGGCTCTAAGGTAACAAAAACACAACTCATTTTCAGGCGATTATAACCTTCTAAAAACACTTGTTATAATATTCTATTTCTGCGAACAGATCCCTCTGAATGATGCACTGTTCCTTTAAAGTACTTCAGTAAATGAACTGTAACTAGTTACTTTCCACCACTGTAGATTGCAGAAAAACTTGGCATCTTCTTACCTTCTTTGTAAACTTGGGGGTTTTGATCTCCACAAACGCTGCGCACACAGCCTTCAGGTAACTGCGCTGATTGTTAAAAGTGACACGTCCAGAGCCTGAACACGAGAAAAGTTAAGAGAATTCATTTCTGCACAGCAGCTTTAGATAAAGCTGAGCTTACAAGATGTCGAAACTGCATGCACATAAAGCAGAACTTTTCCTTAAGTAGGTTTCACTCAGACGGTATATAAGTGGACGTAGTCATTGTGACGTCACCCGTTGGTTTGTGGACTGACGTCTAGAGATCAAGACTCATGTTTACTGAGGTAATAAATCAAGAGAGAAGTAGAGTCATTTTCTCATAGACTTCTATACAACCAGAGGAGTCGCCCCCTGGTGGACAC